GGCCACTGCACTCCAGTCTGGGTGACAGAGTGAGACTCCAACTCAAAAAAAAAAAGAATAGTCAGGAGCAGTCTTATGTACCCATCACCCAGCTTCCCCTAATGGTGACATCATATATAACTGTAGAACACTGTCAAAACCAGGAAATGAATATTGTCACAACACAATTAACAATAAAATCTACAGACCCTACTCCAATCTTATGTTTTGCGTATATTCTTTTTGGGGATATGTTTTAGTGTATAATTCTCCTTATCACATGTATAGCTTCACATAACTATCACCACATTCAAAATAGAAAACTTCCATTCCCACAAAGGAACTCTTTTGGCTATACATTTACAGTGATGTCCTCCCCACCCCCTTCTCTAATCCATGGCAAATCCACACTGTTCTCCATCTCTATCCTTTTGTCATTTCTAGAGCATTATAAAAATGCAATCATATAGTATCTCAGTGTTCGAGATTAGATTTTCTTTCTACTCAGAACAATGCTCTTGAAGTTTATCCAAGATGTTGCACATACCAGTAGTTCATTCCTTCTATGGCTGGGTACTAGTCTATTATATGGATGTACCAGCTTGCTACTAGTTCAGTCTTATAAAAGTTTCTTACACGGGGGAAGGGGCTGAGATGGAGAAGGAAAAAACTAGACACTCAGTTGTCGGGAGCAGATGTGATGTGGGGAGCAGACAAGCACTGTCACTGTAGCAGGCCTTGAGTAAAGGCCCCAAGCGAAGGCAAGGTCTCGCCTAATGACCCCAAACTCGTAGGCAAGGTCTTGCTTGGAAGCTCTGCATCCTAGCCAAAGGCAGGCTGTGAGGGATACAGCCTGCTACACGATACGGTGTCTCAGATGCCTACACATCCAGGTACACATAGTACAAATAAAACCTTAACTACAAAATAACTACAAAACAACTCACCTTTTAAATAACAACATAATTCCAATATTACTCTCTCACAAACCTTAAATCCCTTCCAATTTCCCTTATACTTAATTATAAAATAAACGTACTAAACTAGTTCGGGGTCACTTCTCCATTAAAAAAAGTGTCCCACCTGACCCCAAATTTTCTTTTTCTTTTTTTTTTCTTTTTGAGTTGGAGTCCCACTCTGTCACCCAGACTGGAGTGCAGTGGCCGCTA